AATTAAACAACTTTGATTTAGCAAATGTCATCTCTTCTATAGTCAAGAGATTTTCTAATTTGCATCATAAGACTTTATAGATTATGTAGCATACTATGCAATAAAAAGATAGTTTACAGGAATTTTATTCTATATAAAAAATGATAAAAAAATTAAACATGGTTGACAATATTATACAAATAAATTCTAAACAACACTTAATGTATTTCAATTTTATTTTTCGACCATTAGTAAAGCTATTTAATGTATTTGTTCATTATTTCTTAAATGATAAAAAATATTAACTTGAGAAATAATTTATTTTTCATATATAACGAAATAAAGCTTAATAAAAAATTATATTGACAATGATTAATTTACCAACTTGAATTTACCTAATTAATTGGAAAAAAAATATACTTAATATTATGATTAGAAATTAAAATATGTTTTCATATTTATCTTGACAAAATATTATCAACATGAATCACGAAAATCAGTCTTGTAGTTTATTATAATGAATATCATTGAAATTTTAATTAAGAAAACAATATTTTTGATCATATTTGTTTTGATGTTATTTGAAAATATTTATATAAAAGCAATTAATGCATATATTTAAAAAAATTTCAAAAAAAAGTATGCATAAAATCCTCCCAAAAATTTTGACAATTATTTTTAGTAAATTGTTATTCTATATATATATATATTATACTATTTAGGGTGTGTTTGTTTATAATTTTTTCAATCCATAAATTAATTTATACTCAAAATCTAACTAAATTTTAACTCAACTCAAGTATCATCAATTCTTACACATCAAAGAAACTTTAATTCATTATTCATTTACTCAAATAATTTAACCAACCATCACTTCACATTATCTCTCTCCTACTTTTACATCTAATCAATTTTAAATATCTTATTTTAAATACTATTTTAATATAAACTCAAATCACACTAAGAACTAATCATACCATATTTTTTAAAATTAATTAATAAAAAAAATCATTTTGAAATGATATTTTTGTATACAATCACACCCTTAATAATTTGGTCCATCAACCAGTTTTTTTATTTATTATAATCATTATTGTTATTATTTTATTATTGGTGCATCAACCAGTTATGGTGTGAAACGTCATGCCATTTAAGAATATATTTATCTACAACCCAACACAACCCAACCCAGCGCAATCCATTAATATAAAATTATTTTTCTCTTTTCCATTTACACAATCCTACTTTTAACAACCTACATATCTTTATTCTCAACCCAACACAACATAATTTTTATTTTATTTTTATTTATATATTTATTAAATATTATCTACAATATATTTTTTGGTATTGTTTTATCTACAACGTAACCCAATATAATAATTTCAATTTTATTCCAAAATATATCAAGAGTGACCTCTATTTATAGAGAATAAAAAAATACGAAATTCCCTCTATATATAATTCCCGAATGTGCTGAACCTACGTGGCTGTTTCTGGTGCTTCGTAATCATACTTGGCGAAGAATCATGCTTCGTAATTAGGTTTGGAGAAATAATATTGATATATTTATAATTAATAATCTAGGTTTGGACATTCCATAAATATTATTTAGCTAAGTTAGGTATTTTAATATCACTTGTACTAATATAACCCTTTAATTCCTTATAATTTTACATAGTGAGACACTAAGTGACTAAAATATCCTTGACTTTTGATTTATTTCCTTCAATTAGCTATTGAATTGTAAATGTATTTTAAAAGTTGATAACTTTTGTTTTTCTTATCGGTTTTACATGTATAATATATCAAATTAACCATCTTATTCACCTATTTTTTCTCATTAATTTTAGATTTTAAAGAAAAAATAGCAAGTACCCGTGTAATACACGGGCGTTGTACTAGTTTTGATAAAAAATGAGAAAAAAAAAAGGATGAATGTAAAAATTTCTCCTATTTTCGTTTTATTTTTTTTGGTGACCAATAGGTTTGGTCACCAATAAGTATGGTTTAACAGTGGCAAGGAAAACGTGGGTTACATTTTGGGCATTGTGAAATATACAAACTTCATAAAATTGGAGGAAAAATAACCGTAGATTCTCGCTCTGAGTCCTGCCCAAGCACGACTCTCCACGTCCTGCCCAATAGCATTCACTCGCGCACCAACTCAAATGGCTTCTCTCTCCGCCGCCGCAGCCGCCGGAACAGCCGCCGCCCGCTTCCTCCCCGCCGCCTCCGCTAGGCTCTCACTCCGCTCCTCGCTCGCTCTCAGCTCCGCCTCCATCAGATCGTCTCCTGTTCTTACTCGCCGTTTACTTCAACAGGTAGATAGACGCTTATGTTGATTTACCGGTATGCAATATATATATATTATTTATTTATTTATTTATTTATTTATTTTTTATCTCACCCGATTTTATTTGTTTAAAATGAACCAGAAAAGCACTCTGCGAGGGTTTTCGTTTTCGAGCCGGAGAATTTGTTATTCGACTGTGGCGTCGCCGAAATGCGCGGCGTCGGTCCCCGAGCAGGTCAAGAGTGCTCGTGAAGATATAAAGGAGCTGCTTAAGACTAAGTTCTGTCACCCTATTATGGTATCTTTTCTCCCCTTTGATTTCTGTCTTTCTCTCTCTGCGTGTGTGTGTGTGTGTGTGTTTCAAAATCGTTTATTCAATTTGTAGAAGAGTTGCATTGGTTAATTGGTTGAAATTATGCTGTTTGTTGTGGATATGTTTTTCTGGATATAAAGTTCTCAACTGCTGGAGTAGCATTGTTTATTTATGCATGACCACATTTGATGCGGGGGCTCTGTTAATTACCAGCCGTTCAAGCCTCATCTTGATTAGATTATGACATTATTTTATTCCAGTTGTAGAGCAATTTGCAAGATAAGTTAGGGCCAGCAAAAATTATGTTGATTTCGAATCATTGTTGTTCTTGTTTTTATCCTTATTCTTGTTATTATGCAGGTTCGACTGGGTTGGCACGATGCAGGTACATATAACAAGAATATTGAGGAGTGGCCAAAGAGGGGAGGTGCTAATGGAAGTTTAAGATTTGAAATAGAACTTAACCATGGAGCAAATGCTGGTAGGATCGACACCTTTTTTGTGAATTTTGTGTTTATTTAGTTATGATTTCGTTTCATGACAAGTTGGAGCATGACAGGGCTTGTCAATGCTCTTAAACTTCTTCAGCCCATCAAGGACAAGTATTCTAGTGTGACCTATGCAGACTTGTTTCAATTGGCTAGTGCTACTGCTATAGAGGTTATTATTTTAATTTAATATGAATAGAACTTGTTCTATCAGCTTCTGACTAATACCAATTATCACAAAAGGAAGCTGGGGGACCCAAAATCCCTATGAAGTATGGGAGAGTAGACGTAACTGGACCTGAACAATGCCCAGAAGAAGGAAGGCTCCCAGGTAAATTTAATGTCGCAACAGTGTTCTTGTTTAAATATATTACTATCATCTAGGGTAAAGGTAACATGTAGGCATTTAATTTCGTGTTAGAGCCGGATATTGTGAAGTATGTGAGTTATTAGCAGTTGGAAGAAGAATGAAAGAATTAATTTGCAGTAATTACAGTATTCGACTATTCATGCTGCATTAACTCTATACTTTATTTCTTCACAGCCCATTTCTGTTGTATGGTTGATATACAATACAGGCTGTCTTATTATTATTTGTTAAATAGATAAGTATAATAGGCAATATAATTCTCATATCTAATGAGTAAAGCATTTGATAACTCATTTACTAGATGCTGGTCCTCCTTCACCTGCTGCTCATTTGCGTGATGTCTTTTACCGTATGGGATTGAACGATAAGGTATTGGTTCTTATTTAACCTGATATTTGTTTCCCGTAATAGTGCTATGGCTAATGAAGCTTCTTGATGACCAGGAAATAGTTGCTCTTTCGGGTGCACACACTCTTGGAAGGTCAAGGCCTGATCGTAGTGGGTGGGGCAAACCTGAGACTAAATATACGGTAGCAAAGAGGCTTTTATCATTTATATTTTAAATAATCACTTTCTACTTAAGAATGAATAGCCAAGACTCATTAGTTCTGAAAGTTACAAAATGTTGCATGTTGGACAAGAGAGGACTTGATTCCAAAGAATGTTACTTTAATTATAGTTGAGAAAGAGGTCATTATAAAGCTAGTCTTCTGGCATGGCGGGGAGTTTGCTTGTCGTATTTGGTTAAATTTCTTTTCCTTTCACTGGCTTGAATTTGATTGCCTGGAATGACCCTTAACTTAAAAATATACTTGTATGAATGATGAGTGGGGCCCGTAATTGAACACTCAGTGACTCAATTTCAGTCTGATGGTAAGTGAATACGCATGCCAAAATATCTCATTGCTACCAACTTCTAGAAGATTTTGGGTATTTCTCTTTTGCATATGGCTATGAATTATGAAGTTAGTGTTGTAGAATATTGAAGATGCTGTACCTGGAGATATACATATGCCAAAATTGTTTTAATTTCGTTACTCTTTCAGTCAGAGAGAAAAAAATTGCTAAGGTAAAGGCAATTTATGTTGCTTACTGGTCCTGGTGGAAATTGGAGGTGAGGATTGAGGATATAAATGGTAAAGGAGTAAAATGTTTCAGGCTTCTTATTCGTAATCCATAATAGGATATATGGAGTTAGCGACTCTTGTAAGATTATACAGATAATTAGAGGAAGAGGACTGCTTAATCTGTAACTCAAGGTGATCTTAAACTTTTCCTGAAATTGTGGAGGACTCCTCTACGTAAACTACTGCTTGCTTTATGTCCTACAAATTAGGCCTCAAAAGGAATTAAGGAATGATAGATTTATGAATACAAGATTTTGTGGAATAACAGAAAACTAGAGTCTCTTTTGCTTCTTTGATTTGCATTATATCAGGTTTTGCCTGTCCTTATCTGCAAGCTTCTGAAGCATGCAGATTGGATTAATTGAATGTTCACTTAGCTGATAAATTCTTTGCATGAGGCAGAAAGATGGACCAGGAGCCCCTGGAGGACAATCATGGACAGTGCAGTGGCTAAAGTTCGATAATTCCTACTTTAAGGTAATGCATTATATGATTTCACACTTCTGGTTTTCATATTTTCTAACTGAATTTGCTGAGCCGCGTTGCTTGTGAATATGGGTGGCTTTTAGGATATCAAAGAAAAAAGGGATGAAGAACTGTTAGTTTTACCGACAGATGCTGTTCTGTTTGAGGATCCTTCATTCAAGGTGAAATGATGGGCGCCATCCACAAAATTGCTTTCCTTATAAGTTCTAGCATGCGAGCTTATACAGAACTACACGTGCAGGAATATGCCGAGAAATATGCTGTCGATCAGGATGCATTTTTCAAGGATTATGCTGAAGCTCATGCTAACCTTAGCAATCTTGGAGCTAAATTTGACCCGCCTGAGGTATTTATCCCTCTGCCCTTTTCAATTGTGACTTATCACGGTATCCATGTAGCTCATTCAATTTGATGTATCTATATTTAGACAAGTTAATTTCAAAGGACAAACTATAATAACCCGAGTCTAGCCGAATTATAGTATTCTTAAGAAATAATCCCATTGCAGATTAGTGGCAGGAATAAAAAGGCGGGATTTTTAGTTTTAAAATATAGCTGGCATTTTTGTTTTTTTTTTCCCCCTTTATTGTAGTAAGACTGAACCTTGGGTATTTATTGTACTTCATACCTAAAACAGTGATCCTGGATTCCTTTTTTCAGGGCTTCTCATTAGATGGCAGTAGCCCAGTTGATCATAAGCCATGAGACATTTGTGGCAGCCTAGTGCTCGTTAGGAAAAAGTAAGGATTTACAGCTGTTCCTCCCATGAATCTTCATCGACTCCCCATTTTTCGTACATGAAAACACGTATAAAACTTATAATATCAAGTGCTTAATAGTTTCCTATGCTCGATGCAGGACTAAAATAAACACGAGATTGACCAATCGAGTGAACATGCCCTAAAAACACGGAATTTTGCATTGCAGAGAGAGCTCTCGGAGGCTATGAAACGAAAGATTAGAGTCGAGTATGAGGGTCTCGGCGGAAGCCCAGATAAGCCTCTCCAATCAAAATACTTTCCTAATATCATGATTGTGTTTTGCTATTTTGGCATGTCTGACATTTTTGTTTGTGAACTAAACTTTTTTTCCAAGTAAAAATCGTGACATTTTTTTTACTCTTAACTAGGAAATATAAGGTGCATGCTTATGTGCTCATACATGCTCATCTTTACATGCTCCTTGCTCGTTTTTCATCCCTAACGATTAAGAGGTTGTTTGGCTTAACCTTTGATTTTTTCTTGAAGAATTTATAAGCGCTTTAAATTTAGTAGAGCTTAAAATTCTTTAAGCTTTCAGATAACAGTGATTGCTGTTAGGCAGCCGAATTATTTCAATATATATTTACTGTTTACATACTTCCAAACTGAATGTCATATTCTAATAAACAACATAAATATTAGCGTGACATTTTATAACATAAGCATGCAAGTTTGTTTAAAAAAAAAAAAGAAAGGAAGTATGAGGGGAATGATGTTAACGAGAACGTAATTTAGGGAAAATGCTACGGTCCCGTTACGGAACTATTCCGTCGGGATTCGCAACCGTTAGATCAACTATCTCTGACGGTTACATGATGATCTAACGGTTACAAAACCCGACAGAATGGTTCTGTAACGAGACCTTAGCATTTCACCGTAATTTAGTAACAACCTCTGTCATTTTCGCCATTTTATACAAATTTCATATTACTAAAAATGATTTAACCTAGCTTCAAAATCAGGACTAATATCTAGATAAGCACGTAAAAGGATTTTTCAGGCCTAGTCAGTATCGGGCCCATTATAAACTAGATCATTATCAATACCCATCAATTGGATCTTTTGGGATGTGGTTTAATGGGCTTTTGGTATCCAAAGTAAGTTTGAAAGGCCGCTTTTATGATGGTATTTAAGTTGGTCTTAATTTTCTAGTAAAATATCTTTGTCCAACACTGAAATATGTAATTTTTAGACAAAACTGTTTTAGTTTATGAGGTAGTTTTGAATGCTTCACCAATTTTTTTTTTTTGTTTTATTTATTGGAAGAAGTTGATTAGAAGCAAAACTCGAGTGCAAATAGTCAGTGTGTTTGAACTTCGAACTTTCTTTTACTATTCAATACTCCCTCCTATTCATTATAAATGTCGTTTTGACTTTTTTTATTCATCCATTTTGTTATGTATCTAGACATTACATAACAAAATGGATGAATCACAAAAGTCAAAACGACATTTATAATGAACAGGAGGTAGTAATATATTTGGAATCATGGATCAAGAAAAATCAACATAGTAATGAAAAAGTTCTGAAAAAAAAATGTAGAATGGATTTTGAACTCGTTATCGAATACCAACTTTTTAACTAATACAAACGTTAAAAAGATTCAATAGGAGGTGTATTTAGAAGTATATGATCGAGTTGATGAGAAAGCCTAAGCCTATAAGAGTGCAAATTAAGTAAAGCACAGACATGAATAGGGCTGTAAACGAGCCGAGCCGAGCTCGAGCTTAAGGTGTTTGAGCTCGGGCTCAAGCTCGGCTCGTTAAGGCCTCGAGCTCGAGCCTTAACGAGCCGAACTATAAAAAAGTACAAAAAAATCACTTTTCGAGCCGAGCGGAGCTCGACTCGTTAACTAAACGAGCTTTAAATGAGCTCGAGCTCGGCTCGTTCAGGCTTCGAACTCGAGCCGAACCGAGCCTTAACGAGCCGAGCTCGAGCCGAGCCGAGCCAGACTCGTTTAATTTAACAGCAGTAGACATGAAGAATGAAAAATAACTTGCCAACTTTGATCGGCTAGCTTCAAATTTTCGATAGGTTTTCTATTAGATTGATTTAATCATTAAATCTGACCTATTTTTTTCTATAAATGTGTATACTCTTATCAATAAATGCTATATAAAAAACAAAATAAATAAAAGTATGACCTTTTTTTGTATAAATGCATGAATTAAGCAAGAAATTCCGTGGCCCCATCAATTGATCAAGT